ACAAAACATTTTTCTCCTTCATTTCTGTCACACAAAGCTGTATGTAACGTTTCTCGCGGTTAGTATCATGGTTGCTAGGCAACCTGAACAGCGCGACGAAGGCTAGACCGTCCCATTTCACAAGCCTCTCACTTCCGCACTTCTCGTACTTATAGTACGCACCGTACGTAGTACGCATAGTGCATACTTCAAGCGTGCAGACCCTGAATTGGGACACAGCATCAGTCTCTCACTGAGGATGCTACTGTGACTGGCCAGTGCATCATGGAATGGCTGGGAGGGGCTTTCCAGCACTGTCCTTTAAGTGGACATGAAACACCACATGTATAATGTACACCACTGAGCCCTGCTCTCATACATTGCCAAATGTAACTTTATCTGTGAAGCTGAATTTAAGGTATACATGTTTAACTTTAGAATGTGTTTAGCGCCATCTTCTGTCAGTACAGAATATGATGTCACTAGGTTGGTTGCAGCTAATAGACTCACATTAGTTTATATTAGCTAACTAGTGACAGAACTGATAACTCAGAGGAAAATAAGGACACTGAAACTAAAAATCAGTCAGCAGCAGTTTTGTGCTGACGTCAGCTGATTGCACAGCGCGGTACACCTGTCCAGACGAGGAAACGAGACGAGTGTCGGATTCCAGATTGTCCGTCTGGTAACTTAAACAGGTTCTCCTCCACCCTGTCCTTATTAATAAAGTGTTCTGCAACCTCTGACAACCAACAAGTGGATTTCCTATTTCATTGCAGCTAGCCAAACAACAAAGAACCACTGACTGCTGATAACACAGAGAGTGAAAGTGGACAGTATATCATTGTTTTTACCATAAACCCATTGTTGAAGCCAGGGGCTGCACAAAAATAACCCTTAGACTCTGAACATGTTCTAATATATTTAAACTTCCAGCTTGAATCCAGCTTCACAGTTACATCAGTGACAGTTGACATCAGGGCTTCATGATTTAGGCTGGCTTTTATAATATAATGTTTCATGGCCATTTTAACTTGGATAACACATTTTATTGGCCTTGCAGATCAGTTTATTGAGTTTGAGAACTAATAACATAAATAATCTGGAAAAAAGATGCCTGATCTTGGTGACCAGCAGAAGTTGTTTTCTTTACTGTAAAGTAGTACTGGCAGTCATACAAACTCTAATGGAAACGATTAGAAACCTCTTATCAATCAGACAAAGACAGACATATATTGGTACATGTCTGTCTTTGAGATTATAAATGGTCTTTAATTATTTTAATATTTTTTAGTATTTATAATTTATAATATTTTGGAAATAAAAACTCACAAACACTCAGCTTTGTCTAACTGTAATGTCAAACTTTAAAAAGATAGAGATGGTCCTCATTAGGCATTTTTGGGTTTGGGGTACTCGTTATGTGATAAACACAAGTTTGTGTGAATTCTCTGTGTCTGTTGATAATCCAGGTTTAATTTTTAAGAAGTTCTGTAAATGAACAATGTCAAAAATGTGTCACAAAGAAGAAGAAGGGTGTTACCCTGCCGTCCAGGGTGAGCAGGATGGAGTCGCTCTTGATGTCTCGGTGGATCACACCCTGAGAGTGCAGGTAAGACAGCGCCTGCAGGACCCCCTCACAGACTGTCGCTATCTGCTCCTCGTTCAACCTGAACCACGCAGAAACATCATCGTAAATGGCCTGTATTTGTATAGCGCTTTACTTAGTCCCTAAGGACCCCAAAGCGCTTTACACTACATTCAGTCATCCACACACTAGTGATGGCAAGCTACATTGTTGCCACAGCTGCCCTGGGGCGTACTGACAGAGGCGAGGCTGCCGGACACTGGCGCCACCAGGCCCTCTGACCACCACCAGTAGGGAACGGGTGAAGTGTCTTGCCCAAGGACACAACGACCGAGACTGTCGAAGCCGGTGCTCGAACCAGCAACCTTACGATTACAAGAAGAACTGCCAACTCTTGAGCCACGATTGCCCCATGAACACAGAGAACATCTCCCAGACGACACACCTGAGAGACTTCCAGCTCACCTGGTCTCACTGACGATGTGGGTTAGAGCGCCACCTTGCAGGTACTCCATGATGACCCACAACTCATCCTCCACTAGAGCGCTATGGTACATTTCCACCACATTCTGGTGCCGGTAGTCCCTCATGATCACCACCTAAGACATATGAAATGAAGATCAGTCAAACTGCAAACAGGTAGATCTTCACCCACCTTACCACACCTGTACCTCATTAAAGAGCAGCTCTCGCCGTTGCTGCTTCCTGAGGTCCATCATCTTCACAGCCACCTGTCTCCCACTGTACTTTTCCCGGGCGATGCAAACCACGCCTGTGGACCCCTCTCCAATCTTCACAAAGTTCTCCAAAGTCATCCTTGGGTCGCCAGGGTCCACCACCATCTGTAGTGCCTCCTTGAACTGCTCATGGGTCACCTTTGGAGGACCGCCATCGGACCCCGCCTGCTGGTTGGAGGCGACTGCGTGACCTGGGGAGCCGGTTGGGGGAGGGTGGGGCTGGGAGGGGCTCTCCTCAGTTGTTAGGTTTGGAGATTTGATAGGAGCATTAAAGGCAGAGGATGGGCGAGGCAGCCTCTGAAATACGGCTCTACCTGTGATGATGGGACTGCTGGTGCTGTTAGGAGGGGGCAGGAGGCGGGAGGAGGGTGAGGCCAGCTGATGGAGAAAAAGAAGAGACACTGAGTTAAAGCTTCAGGTGTTTCCCCTTTTTATGCTACTCTGTGCTAGCGGTTTCTTCCTGTTCAGGTCAGGCTATGCTAGCTATTTACATTTCTATAGTCTGTATTTATCCTAAGCTAATATATCTGCATTTTGTATCGAGCCATTTCCTATACTTGTTCTAATCAGATGTGTTGATGTTAGCCTGTGTAGCTTCACATGGTTTGGTCTGTCCTCAGCAGACTCATTCTAATGAATTTGTTAAAATGGTGGAAGTGATCCAAACACTGAGTCTCACCTGGAGGTCGTAGGACGAATGCGGTCTTCTTGAATTTTCTCTGGATGAGAACAGCAGGTCAGGCAGGTGACCCACAGCTGGTCTTAGCCTCACCTGGTGCCTATTGGTCTCCACAGTGTAGGAAGCGGTCCTATTTCTTATTTCTGCCCCGTCACTGCGGGCGTACAGTCCACTTGGTTCACCTGTCCTCTGAGGTTTGTCTAGTTTAAGGGGTGTGGTTTCAGACGAGGAATCCACCTGGCAGGTAGACTTGGCTCTCTGCAGGGCCCCGTTCAGTTTGGGGCTGCTGCTGTTGCTGCGCACCTGTCGTATCCGGTCCTGCCAGTAGGTAGAGCTCCCACCACTTTTCACACCGCGGTGACTTAGCTCCTCGTACTGGTACGACTCGTCCTCGGCCAGTTCTCCCAGCCGGCCCATCGATCGGGCACGTTTCCGTGCCGACGGACTGCTCCGGCGCAGAGAGTTGGAACTGCTGACCGACAGACGAGTCATCTCAGAGATCACATGACTGATGTAGTCTCCATGGCCGATGAAGCTGCCGCGAACGATGGTCTGCAGAAGAAACCAAAACAAATCAAAGTAACTCCAATGGCTCAGGACACACTGGTGCACTACCCTTACAGACTTCCTCACAGGACCACACGTCCTCTCTTAGCAGCCAATCATCTGCTTTCCCTGATCCACAAAGACTCAGTGAAGCTCCTCCTGATCTCCATCGACCCTCTCAGAGCAAACATCACATGTGCAGAGCTCTTCCTCAGCATGAATGCACACTGCTGCTTGTTCACCTATCGATTTAACCGTGGAGACCTCGTTCCTCTGTCTTCATGGTATCATCAGCTTCATCCCTCTGTACTGCACATCACCATGTTCTCAGACCCGGTAGATTTGTTCTTCATTTTCATCATCCTCTCACCACCCACCGCCCTCTCCTAGACCTCCCCATACCTGCACAGGTGCGTCATTTGCCTGCCTTTTTTCCTCCTTACTAATCCTCTGCACTTCCTGAGGTCCTCACTAATTGTCCATCTGTCCTCCTCTCTCTCATTTTCTACATTGATCAGCTCCTCAAAGTCCTCCTTCCATCTTCTCGTCGCAGTGTCTTCAATCGATAGCACATTTCTGCTCTTACTCACTCTGTCCTCCTTACATACAGCTCACTATAAGCCCATTCTTTTTTTCTCTTTGCTGTACATCTGCCTACTTTCTTCATCTCTCTGACTGCCCCCCTTTTACTTTGCTAATATCTTCTTTACCTTCTGTACTTACTATTCCATCACCTAGTCTCCTCGTCCTCTTTCCTCAGTCCAGATACACAAACACCTTCTTGGTACTCTCACATCATCCGAAACTCTCTTGGTGGTAGGACAGGGAACTCATCCCTGAACTCTGAGCACTATACTACAGCTACTTGTACTGCTGATGCTGCTGCCACTACTACTACTGCCACTACTAGTACAAATAATAATGATAATAATAAAAATGATAATAATAATAATAATAATAATAATAATAATAATAATAATAATAATAATAATAATACCATGACCCTTAAATCTGTAAGATATCTGAGGTGATCTCCAGAAGAAAAACAAATAAAAATTATTGTTTGGATACATAAAAAAGGATGATTTCGACCAAAATCATCTGCTGAAGCATTTTTCAACTTTTCATACTATTATTATTATTATTATTATTATTATTATTACTAGTAGCAGTAGTAGTATTTTTGGTTTGAAAATATGAAATGCCACTTAAAATCAATGTTTAATAATCAACTAAATAAACAGAAGGAAAAGTGATGTTGTGAGCCTGCCCTTTAAACCCTTTAAAATGGGTGAGTACACAGTTGCTCACCTGTTTATGTATTCATGTTTTCATGTATGCATCAGCATCATTTTAACAAGAAGTTTTACCCACCAGGGAACAAAAACAATGACTGACGATGTCATGTTTACGTTAGTTTTACTGGTTTACCAGGTACATGAGTACTTGCTGATAAACTACAGCTACAATATTAAAGAAGAAAAAAACTCCAAGTACTGCAGAGTTTTGAGTTGGTACTAATCAAATTAAACTAAAGATTAAACACCTTGTTTCAGACTGCTGCTGCAGACAGAAGGAATCAGGAAGTTTATTCTGGGATTTACAGTTTGTGTTTGTGGTGCAGCTGAAAGATTCAGATTCCTTTGTTTTAAATGCCGTCGGCTGTCAGCCATATGGCATATAGTCTCCTGCTCATCCCACTGAGCTAAATCGGTGCCCGAGGAAGTATTGATACAGTAAAGACGTTTTTACATGGTGATCCATGACGAGGAAGCATAGTCACGGTGAAAGACCCGAGACTCTGGGAAAGTTCCTGAAGGTACTTCAGACAGGTTCTGATCTGTGCAGAAAGCTGTGATTGTCGTTAATGTCGCTGTTCATCAATAAATCAGCTTCTTCATCAGCTTTCTGATGTTCAATGAGACGCACCGCTTGGACCAGCGCACACAAATACGCGATCGATACGTTCGACTGATCCGTCATTGTGCTGGCGTTGGTACCTGATCATCAGACACAAGTCCATTACATTTACAGCAGCCTTGAGAGATTATTGAAATGATCCATCCCACCTTTTTGGGTCCTAGTTCAACATTGGTGATCCTGGAGGGGTCCACCAGGGGGCGTGGCCTCTTCAGCGTGTCGATGACGCTCTGCCACTGCGGCGGCAGCCCCACGTAGCATCCCGAGGTGACGTCAAACGACGTGTGGACGCGGTGCTGGAAGTCCTGTGGCGCTGAGATCTCCAGCCTGTGCTTCTTCTTCCTGCGCTGGAACATCAGCACGGAGGCGTAGAGGCAGCGGCACCAGCCGGGTAGTGAGAGCTGAGGGAAACAACAACAACAATACTGGTAATCAGGCGGCGACATGATGGACGTCTTACAAACATTCACACTCAGGGAGTCAGAGCAATGACAGCTCCTCTTCCTGTCCATTCCAGCATTGTGAAGATGCTGGAATGAAAATCAGCATCTCCAACTCAGTGGCCACGGAAAAGGTGGAGTGCCCTCTGCGGGATGGGTGATGGATGTATGGATTGATGGATAGATGGGTGGACGGATTGGCTGGTGGGTGGATAGATGGGTGGATGGATGGGTGGGTGGTGAATGGATGGATGGGTAGGTGGCTGGGTGGATGGATAGATGGATTGGTCGGTGGGTGGATGGATGTATGGGTGGAATGGGTGGATTGGTTGGTGGGTGGATGGATGGGTGGATGAATGGATGGATGATGATGGATGAGTGGATGGATTGGTGGGTGGTGAATGGATGGATTGGTGGGTGGATGGATGGATTGGTTGGTGGGTGGATGGATGGGTGGATGAATGATGTTGGATGGGTGGATGGATTGGTGGGTGGTGAATGGATGGATGGATTGGTGGATGATGATGGATGGATGGAGCATGAAAACTGTTAAAAACTAATATAAAATTAAACAATAAGAATTTAAATGAAATGAGCTGTGGGAAGTCAAATTCAACAGTGACCTTGGTTACAGCGGAGCATGGGCACGTATTAAACCTCTCACAGTGATGACGGCCAGCTGAAAGTCAGAGCAGCAGCAGTTTTATTAACTTTGTTTATTTTTGGTAGTTCTGTTTTCCTGGTTAATGTGTGTTTATTGTAGATTTGATTCTTAGACTGTTGTGGTTTTAAGTTTTTTAAATTTTACTGGTAATTATATTTATGTGTCATGGATGTAAACGCCCAACCGGGGACAAGAATTCATGCTCAGTGTTTAACCATGTTAAATTGCATCATCATTATTAAACAACAGCAATAATAATACACTCTGCTGCTATAAAAATTATTTTATGTCACGTTTGTTTTCATTGATGCATTCTTTTGCATTTGTGTTAATAAAGTTTGAATTGAAGAATAAGAAGGGTGTGTGTGCAGCCTTCATCATACCTGGATGAACAACTGAAATGTGTCACCAGTTTCATCTTCATCACACATCACACCAGTGAGGACCGAGCACAGTGTCCTCAAATGGTCTGAAAGCAAAGCGCTCCACACACACACACACACACACACACACATACACACACACACACACACACACAAGCTCAAGCTTTTAGATTGATTCACATTTCACACACACGCACACCTGTCTCACCTGTGTGTGAGTTGGTGTCTCTCCACCTCAGGTAAAACCGGGTCCGGTCTGCTGCTGATCAGATGACTCCACCTCAGCCTAAAGGGAACAAGAGAGATGATGAGGCACAGAGCCTGCTCCTCCTCCTCTTCATCAAATATCATCATCATCTATTCTCCTCCTCTGACTGACCGGATGAGATTGCTCCACATCCTCCTCCGCACCCTCTCAGCAAACAGGAGGAGGAGGAGCTGTTAATCAGCTTTCACCTTCCAGCTGTTTATGTTTCAGGCAAGGGGTGGAGCCAATGGTTGACCCAGTACATACACAGACAGGCCTTACCAACCTGTACAGGTGGTTTAGTAGAGTATTTAAAAGTATAATGGGAGGGAGATCCTTCAGTTTTTAGGCCCCTGTTCTGTGGAACCTGCTTCCAGTTTGGATTCAGGAGACAGGCACTATCTCTACTTTTAAGATTAGGCTTCAAGCTTTCCTTTTTGCTAAAGCATATAGTTAGGGCTGAACCAGGTGACCCTGAATCCTACCTTAGTTATGCTGCAATAGGTGTAGGCTGCGGGGGGATTTCCATGATGCAATGGGTGTTTCTTCTTAACTCACTATGTGTTTATAGACCTCTCTGCACTGAATCATACTTGTTATTAATCTCTGGCTCTCTTCCACAGCATGTCTTTGTCCTGTCCCCCGTCCGTCTCTGAACCTGGTTCTGCTGGAGGTTTCTTCCTGTTAAAAGGGATTTTTTCTTTCCCACTGTCGGCAAAGTGCTTGTTCATAGGGGGTGAGCTCTCTGTATTATTGGTCTTTAGTGAGAGTCAGCTGACTGTTTCCTGCTCACCTTTGGCCTCATAAACTGTCCAGGATGTTTGAGCAGTTACTGTTTTGCTGTTTCTGGGAATCCCCCTGACCTTTGAACCCTGTGATATTCTCTGTGTGCACTCCTCAACCTGAATTGGAGGAAAACTTTTTTTTGCAGATGTGTGAACGAAGCCTTTGTTGGTGCTGGTCTGATTCCAGGTGTTTTTAGCAGCTGTGTTTTCAGGGTGTGGCTGGCTCGCTGACATACCTGAGGAAACTGTCTCTACATGACCAGACAGTTCTGCCACGGCTCCTCGTCTGACTGGAACTGCACTCATCCCCATGCACAGGCAGGCTTACCAGAGACAGCGCCCCCCAGTGGCTGCAGGAACAATGACAGATCACAGCAAGAAGTCAGGTGACCCAGTTACACATAGCCATGTAGGCATGTTCGAGCACAACTTTAATGCTACCGACTTCTTTAAAAAGTATAATTTGTATATGTTAATGTCCACAACTCATTTATGAAATTAAAATAAATAAAAATAAAAACTATTAAAACATTATTAAAATGTTAAATTAAAAGTTTTACACATTTAAGAAAACATTTCAAATAAACTAAAACAATGGAATAAAATTTCTTTAAAACTTAAAAACTATAATTAAAAAAAACAAACAAATCATAAAAAGTGAAATTAAACTACACCAAAAATACAATAAAAAATAATGTTATGTATATAAAATTGAATATAAAGAAAAGAAAAAATAAATAAATAAAAACAAAAATATAAAATTAATAGAAAAACCTTAATGAAAATAAAATGTAGCATACAAATTTATAAAAACAGTAATAAAAAATTAAATATAAAACAAAAGGCAAAATAAAGAAGATTAAATCTAAAGAGCACCATAAAAATGATAAGCTCAAACAAAATGATATAAACCTTTACCATTTGGAATGAAGGAAAGTTAAACTGCACTGACTATTGTACTGTGCAGAAGTCGACATGCCCCTCATTTCTTCATATTTTGCTTTCTTGGCTTCCTTAACGTTTTAATGCTCATGAGCAAGAATCCTGCAGCCTTCTGAGTCTTTCAAAGTTTTTCTTTGGACTTTGGCTGCTTTTTCACTCATGTTCAGTCCTTGTACCTGACCATTTTCACAGAGTCTGCAGCCATCTGTGACACGGTGGAGGCTCTGTCATAGTTTCAGCTGCAGGTCAGTCAGTGGTGTTGGAGATCTTTGATAAACTGATGATCCACCATGCAGGAAAATCTGGAAACATCTGACTGACAGCAGTTTCCTGTTTCCGCATGGGAGTGATCCAAAAACACTGCAGTTCATTAAACTCTACCAGAACTCTAACAGAGCCGGACCTCACCATAACTGAAGCAGTGTGAGATCATTCTGACCGAGAACAAAAGGCAGAAACATCCAAAGAAGAAGCCTGAGGAACTCTTCCTGGAGATCCTCACCAAGCTGACACAGAGCTGCAGGATGAAACGGCTCACAGTACAGATTCACTTTCAGGGTCATTAAAAACGTGAAACTCAGTTTCCACCTTATGAGCTGTATTTTTGCACTTTCAATACTTTATAACCATCACTGCTCCCAACAAACACGGTAAGCTGCAGTGTTTTCAGTTTCTGTAAACAGTCTGTTGCTGGTTTTGAACACTTTTTGGACATCTTTAAAAAAAGATATATATCCTACTCAGCTTTTTTAAATAACTGTCATTATTTTCTTGTATTTTATTTTAGATTCTTTACTTTTGTGTGGTCAGCATTGTGGCCTCACAGCAGCTTCATCCCACAGTCCAAACACATGCTGTTAGTGGGGTTAGGTTAACTGGTGACTCTAGATTGCCCACAGGCTTGAGTGTGTCTCCAAGTGTAAAAGCCTGGATATGGCAAAGTCTGCAGTGAAAGCAGGAGGAAAACACTGAGACATCAGTCTACGACACATCTCCACTGATTCACACCCACTCACCTCTGAAGCTCCTCAGCAACAACAGAGAGCAACCAAACACTATAGCTGTTAGCATGGTTGCCTCACGAAGGTCCAGGTTCAAACCCCTCTGGCTTCTGGGTTAACTGATGGTTCTTCATTGGCCGTGTGTGTTAATCTGTTTTTTTAAGTCAGAGTCGGAAGTGTACCATCAGGGACACACGCAGGTGTTCCCAGGTCAGTTACACTTCCACACCGAACCACCATTCATGAAGATCAGTTTACTCCACCAGACACACATACACACACACACACACGCACACACACACACACACACAGAGTCCGGTGTGAGGCCAAACTTTAAACAGAATTTTTTCTTTGCTACAACCAAACTCCATTCAAATATTGTCTGATTTAACATGTGTGTTCTGAGTCTTTAAAGCTGCATAAGGACTGAATAAAGACAAACCAGCAGACTGAGCCTCTGCAAAACAAAACAGAACCCGGAGTCACGTGAAGGTTGTTCTTAGGTAAAAGTTTTAGAGTGGAACCCTTTCAACCTGAACTGTCTCTGCAGAGTTATTCTTTCTGCAGGTTTCTTTGCAAGGTTCTATACAGAACACTTTTATATGAACACAGAATCACTCGGAACCACAGGGGGTTATAGTACCATGAGGAACCTTTGCGAGGGTTCTCCTCCTGTTTCTGTCTCATAAGAGTTCTACTGAGAACCCAAACCTGGATCATTTACAGAAATAGAATATTTATACATAATCAGACTGCTGATACCAACATGTTATTCACAGTTAAGGTAAAGGTCCTCATGCAAGTTTAAGAACCGGGTTCTGTAAAGAACTGTAGAACTTTAAAGCCACAGTGCTGGTATTTGACAGACGCCGTTATCTAGAAAGAGACAATGTGGGCTGTAGAAAATCAGTTAATTTAACTCAAAACACACACATGCTCACCTGGCTGCGAAGTCCAGGTGAGTCGGTTCCTGCTGTTGTTCTCCTCCTTGGACTGACTCTCACTCTCTGCTGCTCCTCTTCTTTCTCCTCCTACCATGTCTTCCTCCCTCCCCCACCTCGCTTGTCCTTGTCTCAGCTGGTTTCAGGTGGAGGGGGAGGAGTTTGAGTCTTTCATATTCGAAGAAGCTTTATTGACACGAAACACAGCAGCAAAGTGAAAACATATCAGTTGATGTGTGAATAAAAGCAGAGCGCACAGATGAACTCTGAGGTCATCCGACCGTCTCTGACTGCACAGGTGATCATGTGACTTCTTTTGGAAGAGAACCATCAAAAGTGGCTTTGAGACAGCAACGAGTCCATGAAAGCAGCAGAGGAGACAAAGGGGAGGCAAGGTCTGTGTCAGCATGCAGGCTGCAGCACGCATCGCCGTGCCCTGAGGCGGGGGAGGACGTGACTCAAACCGCCACACTCTGTTCACTCTGAACCCTGCTTCTCACACTTAAACCGCTAAAGGAACCAGTTTGGGGTCCAGTAAAGCCAGTTCACTGTGCTTTTAACAAGATTTAATTAACACTGTGTGCCAACTACACCGGGGTTCGCCTCCTTAGTTCAACTCAGTCACATGACACCAAAATCACCTGGTGTACCTGCTGATTTGTTTTACAATAGTCTAATATTTTATTCTTTGTTAAACTAAGGTGAAGGGTGAGGGTCAAAGGTTAAAAACACCTGAGATTAATATATTCACAGTAGCATAACTTTTATTTTCCAAGGTTCAAAGAAATTCAAACTTCTGCAATCATCACGTCACGAAACGGTAGAAGCTCTTTTCACCGCATGTTCTTCAAAAATCTTTCTCTGACATGAAAGTTTGTGGAAGAAGACTCAGATGTGGGCGTCTCATCTCCACTGGTCCGGTATGCCATCGCAGTTAACCCAGATTAACTAGAGAATGTGCTCCAGAAGGACACAGTGCCCTCTGATGGTCAAGGTTGATTTTGATTTCCATCGTTTTTGATAATGGAGCACAAACATGAGGCAGACAGTGGAAAATGACATAAAAAGCCTCTTTATTAAGTTAGAAATAAAATAACAGGTAGATGGGTGGGCGGGAGGAGGAGTTAAAGTTTCAGCAGTAAAGAGCGGACAGCTCCCCCTTCAGCTCCGACAGGAGCGGCTGCCAGCATTCAGCAACAAATGGAAAAGCCTCCTCCACATTCGGGTGTATATATCACTGTAGTAAGCAGACAGCTGTACTTAAACTTCAGCTCAGGATTAAGATGAATCAAGCTTTAATCAACCTGTGTGAGCACCTGGCCTCATCTCCTCTGAAACGCTGCACCATCCAGCCTTCAGTGTCCTTCGCCAGCTTCATCCTGCTCTTAGTCAGTAAGAGGTGGACACTTTCAGCCATGCCCACCATATCCACCTGGAAGGTACAGACAGGTGAGATGGTAGCACACTCACAGCCCAGCAACGGAGGTGGGTTCTTTGCTGAGAAGACAGTTGTGTGTACCAGCTGTGGGGGTGCCGTCGGCTCCGGGAGACCCAGACTGACGGAGTCTTGAGCTGCACTATCCTGATCTCCTGCTGGAACTCCAGGTCCACCAAAGATGACCAGTTCACTGGGAACACCGAGTTGGACACATGCAGGCCTCTGCAGGAGCAGTTAGGCCTCAGGTGTGCAACCCCGCCCCCCTGCCCTACTTGTCTGGTTAAATACCTGTGACAGCAGGTAAGAATGTTTAAATGCAGCGCTGCATGCACCACCCTGCAGCAGTGCAGCTGCAACACAAGCTGCAGCAGGCTGACGGCTTTGTGCTTGACCGACAGCTCACAGGAAGCACGCTCTGCCAGCTCCTGTCACACATACACGTCCACACACACAGTCACTGCCAGGATGCTGAGAATTTAATTACATCAGAGGACTGAACAGGAAATGACTCACAGTGAACGGGTGATCAGGCGGAGTGGTTTAGACAGTGGTGCAGCCGTCCAGAAACAGGAAGCAGCTGATCAGAGACTGGAGGCACTCGAGTCCCAGGGGGTGGAGCAACTTTCCACCTGAAGCAGGTAAAGCAAAAAATAAACAGAAGTCAAGGTTAAGCTGGGTTTAGACTGGGTCCCATAATCTGAAGGCTCATTTGTGTCCCCACAGAGGTCCCCGGCCCCAGATTCAGGTGTGTTTGTATGTGCAAGCTCAACTTGAGGTGAATTGCAGAATGGCAGATAGAGACAAAATACTGTTACTGTTAATCTGGCTATCTTCAGGTTTTACATGCTTACATATACACACGCAGTTACTGTCCCTCCATTTACAAAGGCAGAGGCCTCACGGTGTGATTATTTTACGTGTAGTTGTTTTTTTCATGTGTAATAATATTCAACATTGCTATCAATACATTTTTCAAAAAATGCCTCTCTGTGCAAAATGGGCTTAAAGACATAAACAACTGTAGGATACTGCTCGTCCGTGATTTGAAGAGCCCAGTGCGTGATACCGATGCAGGGAAAACCAATTCTGGAGGAGAGACCTACCTTGGCACCTGTGCAGGTTAAACCAAAGGGAAGATATGCTCAGTAGCGATTTTTGATACGGGCGACACGGTTGCCCAGGGCAGCATCGTGGTGGGGGGTGGCATCACGGGCATCGGAAAAAAAATGCTCGTACTCATGCTGACCCGACGTTATCCCAGCGCATTTTGGGAATGGCATAGGCACCGATCGGTTTTCTATCGCCCATTTACTGGGATTAAGGGCGCCCTCCGTTTGTAAGGTGCGCCTTCTGCTTGCGGCACAGGGAGGAGAGGGCGGGGACTCTCTGGCTGGCTGGAGCAGCATCTAATAACCAACTCGCAAAATAAAAAATAAAAAAATGAAAACAAACCAACAAACACGAAAACACCAGACATTATGATCAATGTTCCCTCTAATTTTTTACGTGTCTGGGCAAACACACAAACTCCCTGAGCGATCCCTTGGACCACTGTGAGCGACATCACACGTGTGCACTGTGGTCACACCAGCGTTTACATTTATGTTAGACTACTTTTAATTAACTGCTTTAGCCCATTTACAATGAAAATGAAAAAAAAAAAAAATCTAGTCATTGACCTGTGTAGTATGTTAACACTATTGGAAGTAAAGTAATAACTTGAACTCCAATTTCGAAAACATAACTTTCTTTTCTTTATTTTTATTTTTTTATAAAGCTTTGACTTATTATGAGTCTGTGGTCTGGGAGAGAGTCCTGTAACTCTCTGTCTGCAAAATATAGTACATAATGACCAATGCTGGGCAATTAATTATATAGTTAGTTCTTCAAAAAAGTAACTGAGTTATGCAAACAACAACGTTTTTTGCAGCTATTTTTTTTTTTAAATGCAGGCATGCATTTTTAAATAAACATTTTAAACTATTTACAGAACAATCAGCTGTTCTGCATCAAATCTGATGCCACACAAATCATTTGTGCCAGTCCAAAAAATAATTTCTGTCCACTATAAGATAAAGGAGAACAACAGCCTGATACCTGCAGGCCTGACAACAGGAGATGTATCACTCCTGTAACACCTGTAACATTCAGCAGTCGCCTCATTGTTCTGACAAACACAACAAAACTATTGACTACACTACACACTAACTACACAGGATTTGCACGATTTAAAGCAGGGGTGTCCAAACTCCGGCCCGCGGGCCAACTGCGGCCCGCGATCCATTTTTAATTGGCCCGCAAGTAATTTTATAAATAGAATCGAATATGGCCCGCACTTCAACTTTTGCTTGAGTGTATTGCACTTCTTAGTTTTAACACCAGGGGGAGCTACTGTCGATCGAGGCAGTTGCTCCACCAAAAAGGACAATCACAGAAGAAATTTAGCCCAAGTTAGTTACTAAACATGGCAGAACCAAAGAAGCCAAAGGTAGAAAGTGAATACAGAAAATTTCAGACATGGTGGGAGAGTGAATATTTCTTCAAAGAATTCAAGGGGAAGTGTGTCTGTTTGATCTGCACTGAAATTATGGCAGTTATGAAAGAGTATAATGTACAACGTCATTATGAAACCAAACATCAGGCCTATGCATCCTACACTGGTGCTGAGCGAGAGCAGAAATTAAAGCAAAGGGTAGCTCTCCTGCGGGGTAAGCAACAGTAATTTTTTCGTGCTCAAAAGGTCCAGGAAAAGGCTACAATAGCCAGCTATGAGGTCGCCCAACTCATCGCAAGACATGGCAAGCCTTTTTCAGATGGAGACCTCATAAAACACGGCCTCGTTAAAGTCACCGAAATAATGCGCCCGTCAACAACGTCAGCATGTCCAGAAATCCAGTTGTTGAAGACTTGTCAGCCAACATTAAACTGCAACTGTCTGATAAAGCTGTGCTTTTGATTTTTACTCCATCGCATGCGATGAGAGCATTGATGCCACAGACACCGCACAGCTGCTATTTTTTTGCGGGAAGTGGACGAGAGCACGAGCACTTTAGGTGAGTAAAAAATATATTCCACAGTACCCGTGTGTTAATGTGCAGGAACACATGCTTCAAATATCAATAGTGCGCATCAATTCTGTCACTACCCTGCTTTTGCACACCACTTTCTTATATGCGCTTTTCTTGTTAACACACAGAGTACACACCGCTGTGCACTGCCCACGTACACGCAAAGTCAGCTGATCTCATCTGATGCAGATTTGCTCCTTGATCAAGTGACATTTGTCTGGTTTTTTGGCACGAGTGGCGATCAGCACTGCGGCTGGATGTCCCGATTTACATACCCAGC